TCCAGCCTTCCTGGACTCCTTTGCCCTTCAGGACTGCCTCCCAAGGGACTCTGTCAACCAGGCTCCCAAACAGGCCAAAGTCTGCCCTCCGGAAGTCCAAGGTGGCCGTTCTGCCGACCCTACTCCTTACTTCTCCAAGAATTGAAAACTCTCTCATTTAGTGATCACTGTGCTCAAGACGGCCTCCAACCATCACATCACCCACAAGTCATTCTCTGTTCGCAAACAACAGGTCCAGTGGAGTGCCTTCCCTGGCTCACTCACCAGCTGTGTCAGGAAGTTGTCTTCCACACACTCCAGGAACCTCCTAGACTGTTTCCTCTCTGCTGTATTGTATTTCCAGCAGACATCTGGTAAGTTGAAGTCCCCCATGAGAACAAGGGCTAGTGATCGTGAGACTTCTCCCAGCTGCTTATAGAATATTTCATCTGCCTCTTCATCCTGGTTGGGTGGTCTGTAACAGACTCCCACCATCATATCTGCCTTGTTGGCCTTCCCCCTGATTCTTACCCGTAAACATTCAACCCTACTGTCACCATCATTAAGCTCTAGACAGTCAAAACACTCCCTAACATACAGGGCTACCCCACCGCCTCTCCTTCCTTGCCTATCCCTTCTGAAGAGTTTATAGCCATCCATTGCAGCACTCCAGTCATGCGAGTCATCCCACCATGTTTCTGTGATGGCAACTATCAACATATCAATGGTCCATATACATACTGAGGAGACGATGAAGGGTGCCTGCTCCCTCCCGCCAGCTCTGTACCTCGCAGAGGAAGGTGAAGATGCCCTGATGTTCCTTGAGAAGCTTGGCGATGGTGAGGCTGCTCTGCTTGATCCCACCTAGTGGGTCAAAGAGGAGGTCACGGTTGAGGGTCCCCTTCCTCTCCTCCGTCCACACGTCGATCTCTTCCTGGTGGTACGCGAAGGTGCAGTTATCCCCGTACTTACAGTCCTGCTTGTTAAGCATATCTACAAAGCAACAAACAGCACACACCACCACACAGGGAGGGCGGCCCAGTCAGAAACTAAACTCTCTCTTGTCTCCTCCCACTGCCCACACCTCACAAGGAGCTGAAAGCAAGAAAACACAGAGTTAAAAGAAAAAAGAAAAGACATCTCCCCCCAGGTTTGTCTATACCAAGACATTCAGGAAAGTTAATGCAAACTACTGAATGGTAACAATCTGTTGTGGAAACCATCTCAAAATGGAGGCCTGCCTTAATTCAGTGCCTGGCCAGGGACAGACCACGATTTAACCAACCTCTTTTAAAGCCAATCCAGATTAAGTTCTCCTAGCGGCCAAGCACTAAGGAGCCCTGTTATCCTGGCTCTTGCAATCTCCCCACCTCATGAGGTACTTTGTAATGACACTGCCTCAGTGACCAGTCCGGTCACGTTGCCTGCACATATGGAGGGATGGGCTGGAGCAAAGGAGCAGGCAGAGAGAACTTTTCCCTAGGCAGAACCACAGCCCTGCCATGGGGCTGCTGGGTGGGGTGGGACTAATGCAGGCACATGTACAGGAGGCAGGTTCTTAGCAAAGCCCATGTCAACAGGGCAGCTCTGAGCACTTGGCTGTGCACAGCACCTCACTACGCCTTTGCAACTCTTCTGCTCCACCACTTTAAAAGCTGCCTGCTCTCCACAGCATGGGAGCTCATTGCCTTTCATTGTACTGAGCCTCCCGGTCCATGGGCTACCGATGGGACAGAAAGACCCCAAAGACAGCAGGTGATACCAACTGGAAGTCCCCTCCCAGCCTCCCCTGGCACACACCGTACAGCCCCTTCCCAGCCACCGACAGTCCTATCCCCTCCAGATCACCTTTGCACAGGTAATAGGATCCTACAAAGTTGGTTTTGGTTGGGCGAGGACGGATCCTCTTCCAGGTCTTGTCTTCCGAGTTCTTCAGCCTGCCCAGCAGGATGTCCCGCTTGCACTTGTGCTCCAAGCCTTCCCGATAGGTGTAATCACCAGCTTTGGGCCCTGCAGGAAAGAATAACCCCATCAGCCCGGGGAAAGGCAAACCCTAGCCTGGGCCAGTGCTCTGGGTGGCAGAGCAAACGCATCACCTGTTTTGGGGTAGCAGATATGACAGGCTTGTTTGAAGACGTGAGTAGATGCCAAGGGATTCTTCACCAGCAGGGCTGTGTTGGGCATTACTGGTTCCGGCTGGGACAGCAGGTGCTCGGTGACCTTGGGCACAGCTGGGTGACTTACTCCACCAAGGCTGACCTGAGCGAAAACACACATACCTCTCTTCCCAGCTCTGCAACCACATGGGTAAGAAACCTCTCTAATCCCTTGCCCCATTCCAGTCTCTCAAAAACCTTCCTCATTTTCTCTCTCATCAAAATGTTCACATCTGAAACTACATTTCCAAAAGAGCTGCACGCAACCTTTTCAAAGATAACAAACAGCATGGTATGTTCACTTCAAAAAGACGGGCCTCTTTCTCTCTTGGTAAGGGACCTCAGTTTTCTATCATGAGCCACAGAAGAAAATGCCCCCCTCACTCCTTCCCATTCCTTCCATCATGACTAACTCTGCATTTGGAGACTCAGATTAATAAGATTCAAGACTTAAATCAACCCTATCCCAACCTGGGAAAAACCCAAACCACTTATCAGTGAGTCTTCAGGGAGCAGATTAATCTGAGGACAGAGACTTGGCTCCACATTGAAGTAACAGGGATAGCAGGACTTTCCTGGAGGAACAGGACGCCAGTAATTCTTGTTCTAAGCTTGCTAACCACAGATAATCCTCCTCTTTTCCTCCAAGACTGGAGACATGGGACAGGGGTAGGACAGTGTATCTGGAAAAGCCTCCTGACAGGGGCGGAGAGGAGCGAAGAACCTCACTAGTTTTAAGACAAAGCTGGCTTACTCCGCCCCATCCTTCAGTGTTATGTGGCTGCCAGACATAGGGGGACACTGGCCTCCATGATCCCCTGTTAAGCCTACAACCTACATCACACCATGTTTACCTTGGCAATATGCAGAGTTGCAGACAAAAAAGAAGATGGAACAAACGTCTTCATACTGACTCTGGGGAAATCTTTACCTGCCTTGCCACAACATGGGAGGCAACACTCACTGGGGCACGTTAAGAAGAGGGACCCAAATAATCTACATCACCCAAGTCACTACTACCTTGGCTCCAGAGCACCTTGGGACATCAGCACGGGGGAGCGGCTCACTCACCACGGGGGATGGTTTTTGGCTGCCAGGTGGGTGTCGCAGTTCCTGAGGGCTAGTTTCTTCTGGGTAAAAGAAGGGGAAAAAAGCCCCACAAAACAAAAACAATCATTTCACTTTCAGAGGCAGTTCCACTCACAAAAAGACAAACAAATGCTCATTAAATCCATTTGTTTTATTTATTTCATAACATTTCAGTACTTTTTCCCAAAATTACCTGTCTAAGTCTTGGAAAAACTCCAGGAAAGGCTTTCTTGTTCCCCAAACCCTACTGAACCCAACTGTACGTTGCTGAGCACTGGCATTCCCAAGGTGGCACTCCAAGGTAGCCCAATGCTGAGGTGAGTCTGAGTGTTGACTGGACAATCTCTGCTCTTCTCAAAATACTTTTGCTGTAATACTGGGGACACGTTAGCCAAGAAGAAGCCTGCCTTCCCTCCTGGGACAGGAGGGTACCTACTCTTTGCCCACCATCCTCCACAGCTTTGCTCCTTGTGACATGACAGTGCAGTGCCCCATTCAACAGGACACTCACTGCCCTGAATCCAGAGATGGGAGAGACCCACCCTGGCCTCTACCATTCTGCCCAGTGCAACAAGGTCCTATGTCATCTAAAACAGTCACCAGGATTTTGCTCATTTGGTCCAAAATGTCAGAGAGTCATTGGGGAGGGTAGAGGAATCATGTTATAGCCTAGCAAATTCTGCCAAGGGAGCTGTCCTGAACACCAAGCCAGGTTTAAATCTCATTGCTCATCATTATACACCTTTGTGTTCCTTTCTCCTCTGAGATTTCACACCATGCACATACTGGTTATCTGGGATTACACACACCTATAGCCTTTCTCATTACTCCCGAGCTAGACATATTCAGCTGCTCTGTCCAAGACATTTTATGTTTGTACTCCCATTCTGCAGCACCGGCAGACAGAGCTCTATGACAGATGTCCTCAGCACTGAAGGAAATAATTTTGGCATGCATTCACAAGTAAAGCAGCACAAAACCCCATCAGCCCCGCACCTACCAATGGCAAAGGAATCCAAGGCATCCAGCGATGCTCTGCTTGTCCCGAAGGAGTCCAGGGCATCAAGCCGTGAGTCTGTGTAGGGGAGCAGATCCAGGGAATCCAGCGAATCTAAGGTGGAACCGCCACTTCCTCCCGGCGGGGCCTCGAAGGCATCCAGGACAGAGGATGAGGAGAGCTGCTTGGTGGGATCCATCACCAGGCCGAAGGAGGCAGGTGGCAGCGGGGTGGAGACAGGAATGCTGGCTGTCACAACTGGGGGCAGCAGCGGAGTTCCCCCCGGAAACACAGGGATCAGCTGGGGCATCTCCGTTGGCAGGTTGGTAGGAATGGTGCCCTGGACCAAAGACTTTGGGGAATCGGGAAGGGCGAGGATAAACAGCACATTAGGAACGAGGAGCAGAGAATGAGTGAACACAGAGAGTAACAGGCTCCCACTCAAGTGCATGGTGTATTATCTGAAGCAAAAGGATACCCAGCAGCTCCATCCGCCTGCAGACTTCCCACAGACCTTCCAATCTATCTACACTGCACACGGTCTGGACTAAGATCCCTGCGGAGGTGTTGGGCTACCTGAGCTCATCAGTCTGCAAGGCAGAACCTTGTGCTGGGCACTTAAAGGTCAAGAAACAGTGCAGCCAAGGTCAGGATAACGACCATTACCCATGGCACCTCTCATCAGAGCTTCTTGGCTCGAGAGGCATCCTGCATGAATATGATTATATCACTTCCAGACCCAAGTTGGCTCGCATAACATCAGCAGCACTGGCAACTAAAATCCAACATAAGTATGAATACAGGTTGTCTCTACAGCTCCCAGAGCTGTTCAAAGAGTTTAGGCTGAAGGCAGCCTGCACAAAATACAAGGAGATTAGAGCATGCCCACTGTATAAAATACATCCATCATTCTTGCTTCAGCACACTACTTTCTACCCTACGCCGTGCTTCCACCCCCTGGACCCCAGCGGTTTTTCTTCAGCACACTCATTTCTACCCTCAGGCCTGCTTCAACTCCATGGACACCAGAGGCCGGGGGAAGGTGATGGCGGGGGAAGGCTGTCTTGGGTACCTTTTGAGGGGCAGCTCCATGAAGTTGCACACAGCAAAGCAGGCTTGGAGGCGGGCTCTTTAGATACTCACAAGCCGGTTGCAGAAATAAAGGAAGGAATGAATGAGTTTTGCCAGAGGAACAGCTAGGAGGAAACAGTGACAGAAAGAGAGAGAGAGGCAGCACGCATATCCACATCCTCCAAGGACCTATTTGGAACAAGAAGCAGGGGACCCATGCAGCGCCCACTCTTACTAGAGGGTACGGTGACCCTTCGGCGAGGGAGTCCAGGAGGGAGTCCAGTTCTTCCCCAATGATGTCCCCATCTGTGAAGTCCTCCACGCTCTCAGGCACTGGCAAGGACACGCAGTCTGGAGATGGGAGCAAGCTGGCAGCAGGGAGCGAGGTAGGCAAGCCCTTTGCATCTGCGTCAGAGGGCAAAGAGGCCAGCCCCTCGCTCACAGGGATGGAGGTGGCCACAGGAGCTGGGAGGCACTGCAGGTCCATAGAGCAGTCTGTGATGAGGGAGAAACAGAGCCAGTCACCCAGGAGAGCCTCTTGCAGGGGGCAAGCAGAGCACAGCCCGGCAAAAACAATATTGTACAACTCCATCAAATCACAAAAAACAAGTGTGCCTATCTTCCGAGGGGAGGGGCTCTGGTCTGAAGAGTTCTTGCCCTTTCATTTTTGTTCCCAGTCTCCAACGGCTCACCAATAGCTGAAATACGCTCTAAGGGCCAGTGCCCAGACTGACTGTCAGGATATGGCAAGCACGTACAGTAACCAGGAACAACACAAAACCTGTGGCTGAGCAGTTACTGAATTCACTGCGGCCAGGACTAAAGGCCAGGGGCACATAATCCAATTTCCCTATAACACACCATCTGATGTTTTCTTTAATGTTCCTCACTAATGCATTTGTCAGAGATCACTGCCTTCTCTACTCCTTGGAGCTTCAATATCCCAGCTGAAAGCTTGCTTACTCGCACCCTCTCTCTAGAACCTCAAGCATCCTAAATGGCAGAAGATAAAAAAACCAAGGTCCTGCTGGGAAGAGAGTCGGAGATCGGGTGCTCAGACCAGGTTGTGCTAACAATGTGTCCCCATCAGACTCACTCAGCTGTCTTTACCCAAGTAAATTCCCTGCTCTCGAGTGCTTCCTGATGCCCGCAGGTGGGAGGTTGCTGCCCACACTCCCCCTCAACACCTCAGCAGCAAACATCCCCTTGGGAACTTGTGTGAGCCAGGGTCAGGGCAGGAGAGAGGCAGTGATTTTCCCTAAGGCTTCCTTGCCTCTCCGGTACATTACTGAAATGGTAAGATGTTCCCATCATGCAATATAAACCTCTGTTAAGTGAAGTTAAGGTTACAAGCACATATTCTTCACAGAAGAGCATTTTATTCTCAAAAAAATTAAAGGTTAAAAAAAAAAGAAGTTCAAATGTTAGAAATTCGGAAAATGCAACATTACATTTGCAGTTCTCAAACCAAGCACCCAAACTACCTTAATTCTGCCCCTGTGCAGATGTCCTGGAATAAAAGAAAAGAAATAAGACAAAGATGCTACCTTATCCATCCACATAGCAGTGGCTGCACTGTAGCTATGACAGTCTAAGGCTAAAAGCAAGGCAAAGTTTGGAAGGAGAGACAATAGCTTTTATTAGAAAGACTGATAAGAATGGGAAAGAAACTAGACAAGCTTCCAAGACACAAATCTTGATCCAGTGAGAAATGCTGCATCCTGTCTGTACAAGCTCTGCTCACTCAGCCATCCCTTTCTAACTGGGACTGGGTGAGTGAGCCATGTTGCTATCCTCTACACCGCACGTTCACTGACTGAGGACTGTGTTGGTACCCTTCTTAGAGAGCTCAGCAGATCAGCAACTCCTGCAAACCCCCAGTACTGAACAAAACAACAGCAGAGACGACACACACGCAGGCCCCCTTATCTCTAACCCTACCAGGAGCACACCACCACTCCCTGCAACCTTTCCTCCAGCATTTGTTGCGAGTGGTCCACGTGGATGGACCACAGCTGAGGTTGCTGTGCAAGGCACCAGAGGCCGAGCCATGACAAAAGGCAGGGAAAGCAGGGGGAGGCAGCAAGGGACAGACACAGGTCCCTCTCCACAACCTCATTCATGCGATCAAAAGAAAACGCATGTTGTACCTTAGGGGATCCAACACAGGTTTTCAAGTGCTGCAGCTGGAATCATTCCCCACAGGCAGCAGCTCAAAGGAAGGCTGTAAACGTCCTTAGTTCTGCAGCTGCCCCTCGGATCAGGCTCGGCTCTAACCCCATGCCCCCTTTGCAATGACTTCTCCCAGCTCATCTCCCTTTGGTGCAGGCCCCCCAGCTGCACTCAGGAGCCAGCCATCCAGGTTCCCTCGGTGCTGGCCTCATTGCTGGTAGCTCGGCCAGATTTCCCTCAGTACAAAGGGGCGGCTTGTGCCTTCCCATTTTTCAGATGTTTAAATCTGGAGTACTGCCAAGGTCCCTCCAGGGGCCAACAAGAAGTTCAGGACATGCTGGAAGGGCTGGGGACACATGCAGGGGGAGCTAAAGGGTTCACAATGACAGGGCCCCAAAGGATCCAGAAGTTCAGACCTTCTCTGAGGAATGAACGAGACACTCCGGTTCCTACTTAGACTGGGAAGCAGAGGAAGGAGGCCCTCACACACCTTAAGAGGCCCAAAACCCTGAAAAGCTGAACGCACAACCAGAAGGCAGAGAACAATACACTGAGCTGTGGGGGGTCCTGTATGTGAAGGGTGAGGAAAAGAGCAGGGACCAATAGGTTCCACTACTTGCACGGGGCAGAGGGGAGATGTCTGCTTCCCTCTCCCTGACAACCCAAATCCTGTCATTCCTTCAGCCACTTCCTCTCATCCCCCTCTGTACAATCTTTTCCCCTATCCCTCCTTTTTGCTTTTCTCAGGACACCCCATCTGCTGACCTCACTTACCAGCCACCATACCCACATCTCACGTACTGTCCCTCCAGAAAGCTCATGTATCTCCTGCTTTCACCTAATGTTTGCTCCATGTTAAAAAAATAAACCTGCGTTCTTCAACGAGCAGCTCACAGGCATACACCTGCCTCCCTCTGATTTCTGCCACTGCCATGACACTAAGTCCCATGTATTATTATTATAAGCTCAATGAGGGTCTTGTCCATCCACTCCCCCGAACAACCAAGTCTCTCATACCATGCCCCCCACCTGGTAGCTTCCCTGGCCATGCACCTGCCTGTCCCAGAGGGGCAAGTACAGTGCTTTTAAAAGCCTCGCTTCCAGCTCCGCTTCCCCAAACAGCAGTGGTTCCCTAGTGCATTAGCTGGCCAAAGGCCACGCTGAGCCAGATCTGAGCCATGATCTGTGCAGAGCAGGGCTGAGTTAATCAGATGACTTCAAGCAAAGCATGGGGGAAGGGACTTCAGGAGTTTGCATCTTAAAAACAAAACAAAACAACAACAAAAAACAACAACAAAGAAACCTTGCTAAAAAAGCTTTGAATTTGAAACTCCTGAGGTACCCAGCACTCACAGCCCTCCTGGTGGCACACCACTCTCAGGGCAATGGGATAACATGTAATTTCAGTGCTTTTGAAAAGATCTCCTAGCAGTAAAGGTTGCTGCCTGAACTGCAGCAAACATGGCATGCTGCTCTTACACCAAATCCTGATTAGATAAAGAGCTTACTGAACGCAGTCACTCTTTACTCTGCAGTAGGAGTCCAGTTCATTTTAGCACAGAAAGATAATGTGAAAAACCCTCCTTAATTCACAGAACTGGGTCTCATGACTGCACGTAGCATTCAGTTACTGAAATGGCATTCAACAGAGAACTAACAAGTTTTCCAAAATAGACACCAAAGCACCCTAAAAGCAAAATTAGTTTCTTTCTATAAAAAGAGCAATTGCTACTTGCAGTGTTAAGTCTTCACACTTACCTTCACACACACAGCTACCTTTCAAAGGAACAAAGACTGATGTGCTCAGAGGCACGAGTTCAATGCTCCAGCACACAACAAAGGGCAAAGCACGTAAAAAGCCTTTCTACAGGGGCAGAGTTAAGGTCACTGGTTTCCTGGCATGAGAAAAGCAACCCCGTAGCCCTCCTTCTGCTCCTCCTGGGTGCCTAACCCTGAACACGGCTCTCACTGGGTCCCTCCCAACTCCCTTTGTTTTCATTTCCTCCACCTCAACATCTTGGAGGACCATATGCGCTCAGAGCGCAAACAGCCGCCTACAACCTTAACTTCACTTTATCTGGACTGTTTTGGCTGGGAGCAGAGTTCCAGAAGCTTTGCCAAGCCCAGCTTTAAGAAAGCACAACTGGAGAGAGCTGTGTACCTCAGCAGACCGTTTTAATTCCCAGATATGTCCTTCACTGGGCCTGGACAAAAAGCTTTTCTGCAGGAAAAACACTCCTGCTTCCCACCGTCTTTTCCTCCTTCTAGTTACCAAAGCCAGGAGTTTGCAGAAGAGGCACAAATGAAGACGATGAACCTCTCAGGCCTGCCAGCCTGCTCAGATGCCTTACCGAAGCCACAAAAATCAGAGAAGAGAAATGTCTTTACCTGTTTCGATGTCATCTATCGAACCCAATCCATTGGAAGTGGTCTGCAAAGAGGGTGTAGGAAAGGGTAGAGAAAAATATCACCAGAAATTCATCTTTAAAAAGATATTCACACTTCACAGATGAGAACCCTTTACTACTCCTAAATGCATCTGGCCCTTTCTTATCCTTTATGGCCTCTTTCAGTGCAAGAGCAGTAAAACCAATGAACCTTCAGAGGCCATTAATCCAAAGAGCCTATTCATTTTTACCTCCAGCAGTGGACAAAACCTGTTGCTGCAAAGGTATACCAGCCCTGCATAATATGCAACCATGTGAGCAAATCTGTACATAGAATAGGGTTTTTCATGTCTGGATGAGAACGCTGTGTCCCAGGTCCCAGGACACATCAATCGGTCAGCCCCATGCAGCGTGAGATCTGATTAGCCTGATCTTACACAACGTTCCTTTTCTTAGTTCACATATTTTGCAATCTAACAACCACAAACTTTTACAGCAAACTCAAAACAGGAGAAGGTTTCCACCAAGACAACTGCTGACTTGTAGCTCCAGGCAAGGAATAAAATGAGCCCATATTTTACAGAAACATAAACAGAAATAAGTACATGTACCTTCAGCTTAAACTTAAAAAGGCACAAGTAAAGCATTACTTTTGAGATACTGAATCTACTGCAATAGTTTTTGCAACTTCTAGTTTTTGCACTATTTTAATTTCTTGCAAAAGGAAAGATTTTCCAATTAAAAACTAGGCACAGCTATTAAAGAAAGCTGACTGGCTGTCCTAGAAAGGTGTGAAGGCAAGACACTGAACGGTGGGAGGTAAACTAATTCTTTAGTATCCCATCTTGTACAAAATGTCAATTTTTACAGTTTTACAGTTTGCTTGCTTTAAGGAGTAGTGTGAAAGTACCAAATAGCCTGTAAAACCAGCAAGTGTTTGAGGTTTTTTTTGGCCAGTGGTGGAACAAGAAAATCAGCAATTTCTTATATTTTAGCTTTGTATTTGTACAGTGCCCTGCCCAAGCTGGATCTCCCAGGTGACAGGACAATACAAAGAATACATAAACTGTGTATGTACCTTGCTCAGTACATCGCATGATTTGATTTTGTATGTTTCTTCAGCAGTTGCACTTTCTGATTTTTACTTAGCGTTGCCATAACTATGTAAAAACTTGAAAACTGAAACTTATTTAAAATGCAAGAGAAAGCAAACATTCACAATAACTAAGAAAAATAACCATCTTCAGTGATCTAATTACACCAAAAATGTTGTCAACTAGAAATATTTTCAAATAAATTAATTTCCTTGGCCATATTCCTTAAAAGCAGAAAACACTAATTAATACATTTAAATCCTAAAAGACAGCATAAATTTGCATGTAAATAAAACCCTGAAGCATTCTAGTAGCACAATCCACTAACAGTAAGAACCACAGGATGCAAACTCTACCTGGTTTGACAAATTGATTGATGTGCCATTACTGAGTAGTGAGAATGT